TGAATCTGAGTCTCCTGCACTGGGAAGTGGATTCTTAACCACTGGACCACCAGAGAAGTCCTAAGAGATTTTTTTTTATCTTAAAAACAACTGAAGGGGAAAGGGGACTGAAGGGTGGGGTTGAGGTCCAGGAGAGGACCCTGGAAGTGTGAAGGGAAAGGCGTCAGGGGGCTGCCAAGGTAAGAACCTAGAGATGGGAGGGGCTGGGAAAGAGGTCCCAGCAGGATGAGCTGGGGCGCTAGTGACAGGTAGCAGAGAAAGCTCATTCCTACACCAGACAGGGCAAGGTATGCGCTAAAGAGCATGAGCCACAGAAGTTAATGTTTTTCCCTTAAAAACCAAGTTGAGGATCACTGGAGGTATACACATCACATTTCACAAAAATGTGATATTGACTCAGTTCATCTCCAAAAAATATAAAATGTTTTTGGGTAACATTTTAGGAATTTTTGAGACTTTTATGTTCCTATGACTAGTTCATAAGTAAAATATAAAATTAAAAACATACACACATATAATTGCTGAATGAAAATACCAAATGTGGGACTGCTTTATCACATGCTTTGCCAGCTCCTCATGTTTCTTCAACACGAGTTTTCAAAAACAAATTTTCTGGAAAATATTTTGTCTTTTACACTTACCAGTTTTCACAGACCAAGATGCTAATAAAAATAAACAACTTGAGGATAGTCAATGAGTGTTATCATGTTTGGAACTATCAGGATTTCTAAGAAAGAAAATTTCATGCTTTGCCCTTAAAGACGTGACAGCACTTATGTGGAAATCTATCCATGTTAAGATGGGTCATACCTAAAGTCTCCAAAATATCAAGGTACCCAAATCAATATTGATGCAAATGTATTTTAAAGGAATAAAAATGATAAAAATATGATGCTTAGTAATTAAAAGCAAGCACTTTAGAGTTAGGTAGCATCATAGTATTATGTCATAGTACATACTATTGTTATATACAAGCATCATAAGTTTACTGTGGGGATTAAATGAGATGTTATATATAGGATTTAAGGAATGAAATGATACATATTTTAGCCACTATTATCCTAGCATGAAGCAGAATAAACTAAATAATATATTTCTTAGAAGTCTGTGAGTTCTCATATCTTTGCTTTGTGTTTTGAATCCTGGCACTAACTTCCATAACAAACCTAGTGTATATATGCATGCGTTAGGTTGCTTCAGTGTCTGACTGTTTATGACCCTACAGACTGTAGCCAGCCAGTCTCCTCTGTCCATGGGACTCTCCAGGCAAGAATACGAGAGCTGGTTGCCATGCCCTTCTCCAGGGGATCTTCCCAACCCAGGGATCAAACTCCACCTCTCTTATGTCTCCTGCATTGGCTGGCGGGTTCTTTACCATGAGTGCCACCTTGGAAGCCCAACAAGCCTAGATAGCATATTAAAAAACAGAGACATCACTTTGCCAACAAAGGTCTGTATAGTCAATGCTATGGTTTTTCCAGTAGTCATGTATGGATATGAGAGCTGGACCATTAAAAAGACTGAATGATGAACAATTGATGCTTTTAAATTGTGGTGCTAGAGAAGATTCTTAAGAGTCCCTTGGACAGCAGGGAGATCAAACCAGTCAATCCTAAAGGAAATCAACCCTTTAGGAAGGACTGATGCTGAAACTGAAGCTCCAATACTTTGGCCACCTAATGCAAAGGGCCAGCTCATTGGAAAAGACCCTGATGCTGGGAAAGATTGAGGGCAGGAGGAGAAGGGGCAAAAAGAGGATAAGATAGTTAGATAGCATCACTGACTCAATGGACAAGAATTTGAGCAAACTCCAGGAGACAGTGAAGGACAAGGAAGCCTGGCATGCTGTAGTCTATGAGGTCTCAAAGAGCTGGACACAGCTTAGCGACTGAACAACAACAGCTAAGTGCCATGTGGGAAGGTACTTTTTCATTCTTCTTAGCTTAAGGTTGACTTGTCTTGAATGGTTCTAAATCAGCGATTCTCAGCATGGCTCATCAACTCCTGAGGTTCTAAAGACCTTTTCAGAGGGTCAGCAAAGTAAGCACTATTTTCATAATAATTGCATTGATAGTAATTCTAACAGTATTAACAACAGTAAAGCTAATTTCATAATCTCATATTTTATTTCATAATTTCATGTTAGTAAGCATAATAATATATAATATTGTATAATTGTATAATACTATTTTTATTTTTTACTATGTTGGTCTTGGTGGTGTGAAGAGAATAGTGTGGATAACATTACTGATACCTTAGCACGATTCGTGGCAGTGGTACCAAAATGTACTCATAGACATGTTATTCTTCACTACTATTTGTTCACAAGAAGAAGAAAGAAGCTAGTTTCATTCAAGAATGTGCCTGATGAAATATTGCTTTTATTAAATCCCATTCCTTGAGTAAATATCTTTTTAATACTTCATGTGATGAAACTGAAGTACCCATAAAGCACTTCTTTTGTATACCTAAGTACGTTGTTGTTTTGAAATAAAACCTTTGTACCACTGTTTGTCTTAGGTTGAACTAATCATGTTTTGGGGGGAACATCATTTTTCCTTAAATGAATGACAGATAGACTGTGGTATTCAGATTTGAGTATTTGGCAGATATTTTCTCTAAAATGAACATAGCAAGACTGTCACTTCAAGGAAAACAATAGAAACTATGGTTACCAATGATAAAATTGGAGCTTTCCAGTGAAAATAAGAATTTTGGAAAACTCATATCAACCCCAGTGAGTTTCAGGTTTTAGATTCCACATTGCAACTAATCTGTAAGAAGCTGTCTCTTGTTGAATTTCAGTATATTATCAAAGAAAATACCCTTGACAATCATAAAATCATAAAATATGAGAATATTCCTCATTTTCCCAACCAAATCCTTGGGATTTTCTTCACATATTTCAACCAAAACAAAACATCACTACATTGAATGGAGAGGCAGATATAAAAGTCCATTTTCTGCTGTTAAGCTAAACATTAAAGAGATTTGCCAAAATAAAAAAGAATGCCATTCCTCTTGTTCACTTTTTTTTTGGCTTGGGAATATTTAGTTATTTTTCATTAAATACATTATGTTAACACATAATAGATTTATTATAAGTATTTTTAAAAAACATTTAATTTTTAATACAGTGTATGTTGATATCTAAACCTATATAAACTAAAGGTTTTTAAGAACTTTATTTCTTAAGAGTGTAAAGAGGCTCTGGGACCACAAATGTACGAACGTTTATTCTAAATAGTTCTCCAAACTTGGGCTGGTCTCCTTTGACTATTCACAGGAAAATAGCACCTAGGGCCAAACCTGCAGCAGAAAATGATCGCTTCCTAGTCAGGTTAGGCAAAGGAACATTGTGAGGAAGGATCTTCAGAAATTAGAGTTATTATTAGCATTGTAATAGTTCATTTTCACAGTATCAGGCAAGTCTAATAGAGTAGGACCACTGAGTTTAAGGAAGGCAAGACAAAGACCTTTGGGGAAAGATAGGCTACAAGTCTGCATTAAGGAAAAATAAATAGCTGAAACCTCTTTTGATTAAGAATTCTATTTGCTCTTGTCCCTAATCTATTTTTAGGAGTAACTTCTCCTTTCCTGATCAAAAAAGACAAAAGGGATTTGTAGTTGGTTTCACCATGGGCCCATGATTTCTGCTCAAGGGAATATAATAAAAAGTGTTAGAACAGAGCTTTGTTGGAATGGTACCATGGTAAACTCTCAAAGCTTACTCTCAGATTGATGTGGAAAACCCTCTATTGTCTGTCTCCTTTTTAATCCACAAGAGAACAAAGACATCTCTGAGGCTCAGGACCTTTGGGATTCTCTCCTTCAGTCTGAGGGTAGAAAGTGAGGCATATACCTGAGTATTGTTAGGCTCTGAATTTAACAAGGAGAAGAAGTTAGGAGAAATCATTTGACTCATTTCAGCTGAAATTTCCATCTCATTGTGATAAAAAGAAACAAAGTATGATCTAACTTAAAAATGCGTTGTCCAAGAGGAAAGGAACCAATTCTAGCTTCAGATGAGACTGTTTCTGAAGATAGGAGACAGAGCATCACCAATGAGGTCAAAGCCAGACTGACTGGAATCACCTAGTAGACTCTTCAGTCCTTGGTTTGGTTATTGCAGGAAGCTTTCCAGATATCACCTTGAATATCAACCCAGGCCATCTTGCTCACAATTACCATTTATCTTCCTCAAGATTTATATGTGAGGAAAGTAGAGAATAACAATATATGCGAACCCTGGAGTCACTCTGCCTGGATCCGATCCTAACTCTCAAGCCCTCAGTTTCCTTCTCTGTAAAATGGGAAGAGTGATAGTACTGACTTTATAAGATTGTGAAGATAATGCGTATTTAGCACTTAAAACAAGACATAGCACATAGTAAGTGTCTAATAAACAGAAGTTATTATTGGGCAGAATATTTGCTTCGTATTTCCCACCTGTGAGCGGTTTTTTCCCCATTATTTCTAAATAGAACCCCTTTCTTTCGGGGTTGCTGGTCTCCAAAGCATCTGATCCCTTGCATTCCTGCGTCATCATCAAGATGCTGGGATACTGAAGTCATCTCTTCTATTGCCCTCTAGCACTCCCTCTCCTGACTGCTTAACTCTCACGGGGAATCAGACCCAAATCGTGGCTGGAGAAATGTTCTCAGTTCCCTTGGAGACCACCTAAGACTGAGCCCCACTGAACACACACAAACTCCTAAGCCCGAAGCAGGAGTGAGACGCCCAGAGGTGAGAACGAGGCTGGGGGCGGGGCCGTGCTCCGAGGTGCTCGCGAGGCCACACCCCGAGGTGAACGTGCTAGGGGCGGGGCCATACCGAGAGGCGGGTGTGAGGCCGGGGGCGGGGCCGCACCAGGAAAGCGCCGAGACAGTTAGGAAGGCAACAGTGGTCTCTACAGGTGGCGCGCGCTGGGGTTCAGGCCGCCAGCGTCGCCTGGGCGCGGCAGAGGAGATCCATGAACCGGCGAATCGCTCGCGGACGTGATGAATAAGTACCCGCGCGCGTCAGGCGCCGGCAAGGGGCGGGGAGGGGGAGTGCGGCCGGCCGGGAGAACTGGAGGAGCTGAGGCCGGCAGAGAGGAGCTCGCGGGGCTGTGCTGCGCTGGACCTGGTACCGCCGTCGCTGCTGCTGCCGCCGAGCCAAGGGACAAGGAGCTCGGCTCCATCGAGCGTCGCAGCGACAGCAGAGCGCCCCGCGAAGCGTTGCCCGGGCGACCGCGGCAGCTCCACCTAGCAGCAACAGGGCGACTGAAAACCCGGCGGTTCCCCCTCGCAACCTTCCTCCTGCTTCCTGTCCCCTCAGTCTCCCTTTCCTCATCCTTTGTCACCCCCTCCTCCCCAGCAAACGCCGACCCCCTGAGCGCGGGATCGGCGGAGGGGCGCGGCCAGCCGGCGCTGCGGGGCTCCTCCACCCTGCCGCCTGGCGCGGGCCGGTCAGCCGCACCGCTGAGGGCTCCGCGTGGGCAAGTCCGCCCGCCTCCTGCCTGGGCCTGGAGGCCGCGCTTCAACACCAGCCAAGCTGAAGAGCGCCTGCTGCGCTTGGCTGCCCGCCGCGGCCGAGGTCGCAATCCGTCGTGCTGTCGCCGCCCTCAACTCCTTTCCCGAGGGCCCCGCAGAGCTGGAACTGGAGCTGCTGGCGGCCGGGGAACGGCCTTCCGAACCCGGGGAGCATCCCCAGGACAAGCCCAGGGAGGGTCGGACTGCCGCCACCGAGCCCGCCCAGAATTCGGCAGAAGGATCTGGTGTTAGAGACCCGAGGGGACAAGACATTGCTGGAGAGGAACCAAGACAAGAATCGGCAGGATAAGCAGATGCACAGGGAACTGACAGATAAGCTGGAGGTGAGGACGTCCCTCCGGTGATGAGTGAGACCGAGTGGGGACGCCTGGGGAGACACCTGCCCGCTGGGTAGCGTTGGGAGCCACTCACTCATCCATCCCCCGCCTTCCCTCCTCATCCTACTGTTACCAAATCGCAAGTGCACGTGCCCCAGGCACAGTGAGGCCAATCAATACTAAAACATTATAGAGTTTGAAACAGAGAAAGGTTTATTTTAAGTTCATACAAGGAGAGGGTGGCTCATACCCTAAAAACCCCAAGGTTACTGAAAGCTTTCAGCAAGCCCCTTCAAAAGCAAAAGGTGAGGGTGGGGTTGTTAGTTGTTGGTTAGTTCTTGGTGTCAGATCCTTTGTTCTTCAGGTCAGGTCATGGTCAGGTAGCGATGTTCCTGTAAATCTCTACCAGATGAATGTTATTCTCTGTCCTGACAAGAAAGAGCAAGGTCCCAAGGCACAACTTTCACTCTCCAAGGTCCCAGTCCTGGCTAAGAGGAGGCAGATCTCAGGTGGCAGCTCCCTCAGGGCCAGGTTCCCACACCCTGCCCAGCTGTCATCCCCGAGGGAACCAGGCACCCAACCCAACTGGCCCTCAGTCTTCTCAGTCCACCCAAATAGGGGAGACCAGGTCTCACAGACTGTGACCCACACAGTCAGGCACTGCTAGTAGGTCACAGAGACAGGGATGGGGGAGAGATTCACTACTGCCTCAAGGCCTGGGCCACGGCTGGTGGAGGGCAGTCCCCAGTCTGTTCCCTGGGCCCTCCAGCTCACCTGCTGGCCAGATGCTGGGTGAGCTTGAGGGCCTCCAGGAGAAGGCCTGAATCTGCCTCTTGCTTCACTATCTACCTGATGATCTCTGCACCACTAACCCTTAGCTGAATCACTTACCTAATGGTCCCTCATTGACTGTTACTTGTGGGCAAGGTCCACTGTGGCACTGACCAATAGCTGAGCAGGACAACTACCGGTTGTTCATTCACCGTGGCTTATGGGCTGGGCCCCCACTGAGGAACCGGACCAATGGCTGAGCAAGACCTGTTGCCTGGTAACGGGTGTGGAGTAATGAGGCCCATCAGCGGCTGCCTGCTGAGGGATGTGCCCATCCTGCTCTGTTACACTACCTCACGGAAAACTGCCTGGAAGGGGGGTGGAATGGATCGTTTGGGATCATCAGAGAAGGTCATTCATTGAATCCACTTGACTTTCCCACGCTGCTCACAAGTGGGTCCATGCAGGGTTTCAAACACTGTGGGCTGTTCTCGATATGTACTGTTCACAGCATCTAAGATAGAGCATACCTATGGCTAAGCAACCCACGCCAGTATTCTTGCCTGGGAAATCCCACGGACAGAGGAGCCTGGTGGGCTATAGTTCATGGGGTTGCAGTAGGTCCATGACTGAGCGACTAACACTTTCACTTTCATGCACACTTTATAATGGGGCTTCCCTGGTGGCTCAGCAGTAAAGAATCCTCCTGCCAATACCAGAGATGCAGGTTCAGCCCTGTGTTGGGAAGATCCCTTGTAGAAGGAAATGGCAACTCACTCCAGTATTCTTACCTGGGCAGTCTCATAGACAGAAGAGCCTGGCAGGCTACAGTCCATGAAGTCGCAAGGGTTGGACATGACTTAGTGACTAAACCACCCCCACCACCATGGCTACTTTACACAGCACTGAAGTGATGTTTGCATACAGAGTAATTAAAAAGTAGGGAAGCATTTAAAATATGTTCCAGGTTTTCAGAGAAGTAGCGAATCACTAATCAGCATGTTATCCTAAAGCTTTTCAGCTGTGTTAAGGCCTCTAGGTAGCCATATTTTAACTTCCCACTTGGAGGGAAACAGCTGCCTTAAGAGAGCTTCATAAATACTCAAGAATTAGGAAATATGGTTCCATTGCAGAAATAAGGTGAGCCTGGGCTCATCATGTGACCATTGGTTAAGGATTTAATTTGGACTGCAGTATATTTATATGTATTTAAACAGTACTTTCTGTTTCTGTTCTCGGTCTCACACATGTAATTGGTTGGCCAAATGCAACCTTTGAGAACCATATAACTTGTCCTTTTCTGCCTATACGTTTACTATTGTTACCCAATTTGATTGCAGCTTTCTTTTTACTCACAAGAGAATAATGCAGTCCTGAATAAAGTCTGAAATTGATCCTAGTCTGGTCCCATATTACTGCTGCTGGTTGAACAGTCAGAATACAGATTCAGAAACTTTTCTGTAATAAGTGTGTTTGTAATTCAATGACGTATCAAATCAGGAAAAAAAGGAAACCACTGAGTGCCCTGTAGTTCAGTTAACTGCCTAGTTGTAGTTAACTAGCTAAGCCAGTTGATGAACTCCTGAGATACCACTCTGAAAAGTGGTTTGTGAAACCTATAGGTAGACTGCCAAAAAACAACTCCGTGAATTGAATTTTTTAATTTTCATTTGAAGGCAGGTAACAAGAAATAAAAGGATGTCTTTAAAAAGATTCAAAAATTAGAAAGAGATTTGATTATGATTATATAGAAGTATTACTGCAGAGATGTATGCTTGTGATTTGAAATTCCTTCAGTGAGGGATTTGATTAAAGAGACAGCTAACCTGAAAGAAACATCCTGTCAGTCAGTTTGATTGGTGATAGAGTTCAGGGTAATCCTCTGTGTGCAGTTACACACATTCTGGGTTCCATTTGGAACCCACCTTTGTATATGTCTTCAACAAAAGAAAATGATTTTCAATTTCTATAATGAGAAAGGTTCTGGCATTTTGTTTGTGAAACCAACCTTCCCTTCTCTGGAAGAAGGGAATATTTTTGCAGTTGTGAAATGAGAAACTTTTCCTATATGGCAGAGTGTTTTGTTTTGACTGACAAGGGAAAAGAAAAGAGAAAAAAAAGGCTTTGGAATTTTTAGACCCTGATGCTGGGAAAGATTGAAGGCAGGAAGAGAAGGGGACAACAGAGGATGAGATGGTTGGATAGCATCACCAATTCAATGGACATGAGTTTGAGTAAACTTGGGGAGTTGGTGACGGACAGGGAGGCCGGGCGTGCTGCAGTCCATGGGGTTGCAAAGAGTTGGACATGACTGAACAACTGAACTGAACTGAAATTAAATTAAATCCTTTTCACCCAGCAATTAGAACAAGAGAAATGTGAAAGATGATTTGAGAACCAAGAAGGGGAGGACGTGTGTCTGAGCTGGAGACTGGTGTGAAACAGCTTCAGTTTGAGTTGGAGAGTCAGCCAGTAAGAAAGCAGATTGAGAAGAAACACGGACTGTCCAGAAATTATCAGAACAGAACCAAAGGTTATTGGATCAGCTCAGCAGGGTGAGTCACAAGTTAAGAATTTGTGCAATAAAATTATAAAAGTTAAAACAGAGCTTTTGTGTAATGTCTATCGTGTATATGGTAAGAGTAATTCAGATTTTTGTTGCCTTTGTACTGATATCAACAAATGAAGTGTTCTTCACCTGTAAGAATTCCAGCTTTGAGGTGTCAGGAGCAAAGACCCTTGCCTGTCATTAGCCAGCTGTGAGATTTTGGCAATCACTTAACTTGGGAGTTTTCTCACCTTAAAAACGAAAGGGTTTGCTTAATGATTTCTGGTGTTTCTTATAGCTCTTGTTGTTGCTCTTGTTCTTCAGTGGCTAAGTCGTGTCGGACTCTTTGCAACCCCATGAACTGCAGCATGCCAGGCTTCCCTGTCCTTCACTATCTCCTGGAGTTTGCTCAAACTCATGTCCATTGAGTCAGTGATGCCATCCAACCATCTCATCCTCTGTTAGCCCCTTCTCCTCCTGCCCTCAATCTTTCCCAGCATCAGGATCTTTCCCAGTGAGTCGTCTCTTCACATCAGGCAGCCAAAGTATTGGAGTTTCAGTTTCACCATCAATCTTTCCAATGAGTATTCAGGGTTGATTTCCTTTAGGATTGTCTGGGTTGATCTCCTTGCAGTCCAAGGGGCTCTCAAGAGTCTTCTCCAGCACTACAATTCAAAAGCATCAGTCCTTCAGCGCTTAGCCTTCTTTATATTTCAATTCTCGCATCCATACATGACTACTGGAAAAACCATAGCTTTGATTATATGGACCTTTGCTGGCAAAGTTATGTCTCTGCAATTTAACATGCTGTCTAGGTTTGTCATGGCTTTTCTTGCAAGAAGCAAGTGTCTTTTATTTATTTTTTTTTTCATTTATTTTTATTAGTTGGAGGCCAACCACTTTACAATATTGTAGTGGTTCCCATCACACACCGACATGAATCAGCCATGGATTTACATGTATTCCCCATCCTGGTCCCCCCTCCCACCTCCCTTTCTACCCGATCCTTCTGGGTCTTCCCAGTGCACCAGGCCCGAGCACTTGTCTCATGCATCCAACCTGGGCTGGTGATCTGTTTCACCATAGATAATATACATGTTTCGATGCTGTTCTCTCGAAACATCCCACCCTCGCCTTCTCCCACAGAGTCCAAAAGTCTGTTCTGTACATCTGTGTCTCTTTTTCTGTTTTGCATATAGGGTTATCATTACCATCTTTCTAAATTCCATATATATGCGTTAGTATACTGTAATGGTCTTTATCTTTCTGGCTTACTTCACTCTGTATAATGGGCTCCAGTTTCATCCATCTCATTAGAACTGATTCAAATGAATTCTTTTTAATGGCTGAGTAATATTCCATGGTGTATATATACCACAGCTTCCTTATCCATTCGTCTGCTGATGGGCATCTAGGTTGCTTCCATGTCCTGGCTATTATAAACAGTGCTGCAATGAACATTGGGGTGCACGTGTCTCTTTCAGATCTGGTTTCCTCAGTGTGTATGCCCAGAAGTGGGATTGCTGGGTCATATGGCAGTTCTATTTCCAGTTTTTTAAGAAATCTCCACACTGTTTTCCATAGCGGCTGTACTA